TTGATTTCTTTGTATGTATGGATCACTTGGGTTGTTACCGACATCTGGTGAAAATTTCATGTCACTAGCAACTTTAGTAATATATTTACTGGGAAAAATGGTGAATTGTTCAATACTTATTTTATCCACTGTATATGTACATATACTGTATACACACACACACACACACACACACTTTCTCTTACTGTTAAAATTAGTCTACCCTCAGAATTATAGACTATTCATGTCTTTGTAAGTGGGCAAACTTGCAAATTCAGCAAGGGATGAAACACTTATTTCCCTCACTGTAACTGCGTAATTAGATAAAGGGATACAAATGTATGATAGAAAACTGTAGAAGTCTTTTCTCTGTACAGGATATTCCACCCCAACCATCAATACTGAACATTGATTGTTTCAGCCGCAGAGTTTGCATCAGGGAGGCTTTATACGACCCGAGGGAAACAAACACTGTGGTGGTAGTAGCAAGTTTTGTTTAATTCACAAATTCAAAACAGAATGAGAATTCACATCACAACACAACCTGAACACACATCATACAGTAACCATCTACAGGTGCAAAAAACCCAGTCCGTTCAGAATCCATGTGGCTGCAACTAAATAAAATCAACATTTGAAAGAACGGTTGTGGAGAAGGAAAAGAGTAATGGAGGGTTGTGTAATGTATTATTCTAACTTTTAAATAGAGAAGTACAGTCTGTTGCAAAAACATTCACTGTGTTGATTTGTTGCCTTATAACCTAGAATTTAAAGAGATGTTCAGTTTGATTATTAAAAAATATAAGAAGATACTCCTGCCTGATTAATGAAGGTGTGAATCGGAAAATAAACCAAAAGGCCAAAGATCTCGATGGAGAGATAGAAGGATCTGTCCATAAGTTGAAGCAGCACAGATTGAGGAGGCTCCAATGTGAGGTATTTCCAAACATGTGGAAGTCGACTTTGTGGTCAGATGAGACAAACTGAAATGGTTTTGGTCATCAAGGACAGCTGGCACAAAGATGGACACCTATCAAAACTGAGACCATCTCCACAATGAAGCACGGTGGTGGCAGCATCATGCTGTGTGGTACTCCTTTTATTCAACTATTCTGCGAAATGGCCACACAGACCAGCCCGTCTTTAAGCTCCCTCTGACTGTTCATAAACCACAGATAAAGCCGGTCCTTCCTACGCAGAAACGTTTAGAAGTGAAGCGGGCAGAGCACAACCAAAAGAGGCAGAGCAGAACAAAGTACTGATTAACAATACATCAATTTACACCAATATATTGGTTAAAGGATTAATTACATCAAGGCAAAACCTTGATCCATATTGTCATCATATGCCCATCTAACACGATGGTGTTAGATGGGCATGGATCGCAGAATTGTGAATTGAATCAACTCAAAATTGTATCATGACAGACTGTGATACTGAGAAACATACTGTCATCAAAACCAATCAACATAACATTGTATCATGACAAAGCTGGTGATTTATATCCCTAATGGTTAATCCTTCAGAAGACGCACTGAGGTGGTCAGAACATGTCCGAGTCCCAGTCTTATGAAAGAGTTTAGTTTTGGTAAATGATTTGAACTTTCGCAGCACTTTATCAAGTCCTTATGGACTCCAAAGCTCTTCAGACTTTAATTCTTCACACACTGATGGTTGTAAGCTACAACCATGCCAAGTTGTGTGACCACCATCACTTGGCAAGATGGATGAAGTGTCTTGCCCGAGGATACGACGACTGAGACGGCTTGAACGGGGGATCGAACCGGTAATCTACACAAGACGACTCTCCTAACCGCATCACCTCTACTTGTTCTGATGCCAAAAAGAAAAAAAGTGGCTCTATAATCTATTTTGAGGGTTAATACTTTTACACAAAAATGTTTTGTCTTTTGTTTTAAAATAAAAAATATGCTACGCTCCGTCCAAGCGGTAATATGGTTTTGTAAATAAAATTGACAAACTATCCAAAATCCTTTTTAAATTCCACGTCAAAAGGCAACAAACCTGGGAGAACGCACAAGTGAATAATTTCGAACTGTGGAGCTTCAATGCTTACCAGTGCTGTGTGGGTGCGAGTTTTAAATGCATCGTAAATGCTTTCAGTGGGCTCATGTCATACAATCGTTTCACGATTATACCCGCACTACAATACCTGAGAGCACTGAAATAAATATATCATGTGCAAACAGTTATTTCAAAAGCATCAATTTTGATGATGCAACAGAAGAAAGGCGTTTAAAAAATACTAATTGTACAACTGACCACTGCACAGTGTTGACATAAAGGTAGAGCATGGCTTTAATTAGTGTTGAATACAGACCTATTCGTTCCTGAATCAAGACACTTACCCTGGACAAACTGTATTTTATTACACTCAGCAAACCACTTTTTTTTCAGAAACATTACAATCTTTTACAAATGAGTCCACAATCTAGTTCCTTCTGACACAATCTGTTTGTAAAAATAAATAAATAAATAGAAGCAAATTGAGCTGTGCACTGAATGTTACCTGAAAGTTAGTGCAAGATGCTTCAAATGCACTGAAAAGGTCACAAATAAAAAAGGTCCAGACCCAAGAACAAAGATCAGTACGTTTCCTTTTTTGGGTGTATCAAATACATTCACGTTTTAAAAATCTCCCTTTTGCCTCTAAATGTTCACAAATGCCCTTAAATTGCAGCTCAGGGTTGTTTATAATGTAGTACCAAAAAAATAACTTTTCTGAATACCTGTTTTATTAACTCATGATTACACATTTAGAGGAGAATCTGTAAAAATGGAAATGTTTAAAGATATTTAACCAAAAGCTGTAAAGTCAAAAACTAATTGAAAAAAATGAAAAGACTTCCCCTCTGATCATAAAGTAACACAAACAAAACAGTAAGGAATCACTTGAGGTTTTTACACATTGGTAGTTTAGGTAAATAATTTAAAGTCACGTTTTCCTTTAAAACAAAACAAAACAAAAACACAAACCAAATATTTGTCATGAAATCATTTAAAAACTAATCAGTTGTTTTAGTCATTTGGATTAAACAGCTCTTATAAACCTGCAGGTATTAATGGATTTTTTTTCTTCCTGTTTTACCATTTTTTTAACGCCCTAAACTACAGGAAGCTTTGAGATGCAACAAAAATGTTAGAAATGATCTGGTGAAAGGTTTAATAGATATTCAAGGAAAGTCTGTTCTGTTATTTTAACGAGAACAAAAAAGATCCACTGTTTAAAGAGATTTTTGTTACATTTAAGGTCTAACAGTCATTCAGGTGGATGTCCCGAACAGTTCCCTTTAAAAACTGATTTTATAAAGACTCAATGGCTGTTTTCTACAAAGACTTCTAGTGGTCATGGGTTAAAGTAAAACCTGAAGCCATAAGAATCAATTTAAACAGTTTAGGAAATCATTCGTACATTTTCAGAGTGATATATGAGCAGCAGGTGCTGTGTTTTGTTTTCAGTTTAGACAAGAGGTTAGAAATCATTTACAAACTGCAGGATGAGGATGCAATATTCAAAAACATCAACATATTGCCTGTTTTCTACGGAGCCGGTCCGGTGACATTGGATAGTAAAAAACTTTAGCGTGTCACCACGCGATAATAACACGTGACCACGGGACAATTGTGTCATGGCCATGAGATAATTATTAGTCACATCCATGTAGAGACTGCTGCTTGTGGACAAATCTGAATTAGGTTTATTTTAATATAAGAATAAATTACATAATTCTTAGAATTATATGTTGCAGCTATAAAACATAGGTAACAGCTGGAGTTTTATTCACCCAAAAAGCGTTAAATTTCTTTTATTGAAGCTCAACACTTAAAAACAGGCTCCTCTCTCACAATGAGCCTTGGCTGCTAGTATGTTCATTATCATCTCATAAATAGCTTACTACGAATGATGAACCATTTATATTATTATACACCAAATCATGATAATAATAAGTGTAGGTTAAGCTACGTTTGAACAGTTCAAAACAAAAATAAGTATTTAAAATACTTTGACCCAGGGGTCAGTGTTGGGACCTAAACTCTATATTTTATATATAAATGATATATGCAAAGTCTCTAAAGCATTCAAATTTGTTCTCTTTGTGGACGATACAAATATTTTCTGTGAGGGGGAGGATTTACAGCAGCTTGTGAAGGTAATCACCTCAGAATTAAATAAATTAAAAAAGTGGTTTGATAAAAATAAATTATCATTAAATTTGGATAAAACTAAAATTATGTTGTTTGGAAATCATAAAGGAAATAGTGATTTTAAAATAGAATTTGAGGATGTATATGTGGACAGAGTTAATGAAATTAAGCTTCTGGGTGTGGTGATTGACCAGAAGATCTGCTGGAAACCTCATATTCAGTATGTGCAAGCTAAAATATCAAGAAGTATCTAACTTGAAATTTAGTATTAGAATAATATTGGATTACCTTGTGTATTACTTTATTTGTTTTTGTTGTTCGTTTTGTTTTCATCACAAACTGATAATACTCTGAAAATCAGATGAAATGGTGAATAGGGGTAGGATTAAATAAGTTTTAATTCTTCCTACCCCTTTTCAGACATGTTAATGGGATTTATGTGCTTTATGTGAGTGCAGGTATTAGGGTATGTGTACACAGATAGGTGTGTGCACATCAGGTGTTTATTATTTTGGGTTTATTTATTTATGTGTAATTAGTCCAAGTGGTTTTATTTATTTATTTTTTGTTTGTAGATATGGGAAAGGGTATATTGAGTTATATAGATTCGATGATTTGACATGTCTGGAATAAATCATTAAATCAAATCAAAATATGACTCCAACAACATCTGTATCTCTCACAAAGAGATGTGGTGCTCAAAATTATCACGCGGCCACAAGATTAAAAAAGAAATTATCCAATGTCACCAGTTTAATCAGAAACACAGCAGTTTGTATATTTTAGAAAATTACAATCTGTGCTGTACTTTATGAAAGTTCAACAGTTTTGAATAGAATAAAATGTAGTAAAATGTCTACTTTTCTGCAGTTGAGGAAGTGATGTTTGTTTTATTGGTTTGATGATTTGTTTAGTGATCCCAGAACATCTGTCAAAAAATCCTGAACTTAGAATATGGATCCTGAATCTTTGTACACAACATCATAAAGTAAGCAAACTGATTCTTAAGCCTTCAAATGTTATTTCTACTGTGGCCCCCAGAGGTCCCTGTATTATTCAGAGCCTAACTGAAATGTTGAATTAATGTCAAACTTTAAGACTTTGCGATCAGACCTCTGAAGCACTCTGTGGCACGAGTATATAAGATAAAATCATTTTAAACCACCAACAATACATTAGCTATCCTTTTACTCCGGTAAAACTGAATTTTTACAGTTTGGAAATCAACACTACAATAAATCAGTAACTCTTGTAAATATATAGTTGTGTCCTGTTTTGTGACACTTGCTGCCCTTCAGCTACATCATTAAATGCATAAAATGTGCCTCTGTTTCTGCTGGTGTGTTTTGCTGTCAATGCAACATTTCCACCCACTCTGACTGGATGGCTAATGAACTAAACTGGAACATGCTACTAAAAGTACAACAACAGCAAGTCTGATCTCATCATTATGCGCTGCACTCCCACCGCCACACAGCTCTGAATCACAGTAAGCTCAAGTCAGTCGTGTGAATTCTCAATTTTCCCAAAAGGCTTCGGAGCAACACAGTCCAGTTTTAGCAGAAAATAAAAAGGTTTAAGGCTGATAACTGCAGCTAATAATAAACAGAAACAAGTCTGACCAATCAAAAGACTTAAAAATATTTTTAAAAAATACTGTAAAATATAGTGCCAGTGTGATGAATCCTGTCAGGGTACCGAACAATGAGTTGATTTCAATTAAAGTGCAACAAATCAATAAATAAACATTGAAACTGCTCTGTAGTGTAACTGAAAGAGGAGGTAGGATGGAGGGACAACGGCGGGCGGGGGAGATCCCAAGTTTCAGAACGGAGGAAAGAAAAAAAAGTGAGAAGAGGATGTGTTCCTCACTCTGGAGCTCCATTTGCTGTTCCTGCCATCCTCTCTTCATCCCCCTGTTTCTGATGCTGCAGTCGGGCGTAAGTCACAGCGTCCCCCCTGAGAGAGAAAGAAAAGGACGACCGGATGCAAAATAAAAGGAAGGTTAAGTAAAAAAATAATTAAAAAAAAGTTTAGGAGACACAAAGAAGCAGAACAAAAAGGTGCATCAGTAGTACGGTTATCACACACACACACACACACACACACACACACACACAACAGCTTGTCAAAAATTATTCAGAACAAAGACATAAAACATTAATTGTGTTAACTGATTAAGATGTAAACTGTGTTTAATATAGGAGCCTGTTTTAATGAGGTTTAAGGGAAGAAAACATGAAGAAGAATGAGCGATAATAATAACAGTTTGTACTTTTAAATGTTGATAAATTACAGAAAGCTTCTCACTTTTTGCCTAAGGACGCGAGGCCGTACAGGACTCCTGTGGCAAAGGCGATGGCATTTCCAAACAAGGTAGTGAAGGAAAAACTCAAGAAGATGGGAAACAGTGCCATCCTGAAACAAACAAACACATTAACTAACTAACTAACTAACTAACTATGATGCCAAAGTGGCAACTAAAATTTGGTGAAGTCATTACCAAACTATAAATAATCACACTTAATCTAAATCAGGGGTGTCAAACTCATTTTCACCGAGGGCCACATGATCGTTATGGTGGCCCTCGAAGGGCCACTTGTAATAAACTTTGATGTTTCATGTTTTACTTTGACTAAACAGAGTTTTAGCACGTCCTCTTTTAAATACTGATAAGTGTTTAAAAAACGCTAAGTGTATGACTGACTAAATACGTAATAAATACAGAAATATTATTAAAAGTAAAACAAATAAAGTTTTACTGATGAGTTTCTAGTGAGTAGCTGTATTATGGCAGATTTACTTTTATGTTTGATGGTGACTTTAAAGCAGCTTATTTTCAGACATTAGTACTGTGCTATCCAACTAAATTGCTCAGTTAAACACTGATAAGAACTAAGTGTATGACTGACTAAATCTGTAATAAATACATAAATATTATTAAAGTAAAACAAAAAAAAAGTTTTACTGATGAGTTTCTAGTGAGTAGCTGCATTATGGCAGATTTAGTTTTATGTTTGATGGTGACTTTAAAGCAGCTTATTTTCAGACATTAGTACTGTGCTATCCAACTAAATTGCTCAGTTACTTCAAACCAACAGCTCAGGGACAGGATTTTTTTAAATTTATTTTTATTTCATTTATTTTTATTAAATTAATTGTGTTGCATTTAACCATAAATTTAAAGTTTACCATTGATATAAGAAACAAATTTCATGTTAAGTTTAAAAACAAAGAGTCACCGGCAGGCCACATTTGGCCCGCGGGCCTTGTGTTTGACACATGTGATCTAAATGGTAATCAGAAATTCCCAGATTGAAACAGATCAGTTTTCATTAATACAGATTTTATTTTCTCCTCCCCTCACCCGCAGTAGAAGAAGGCTTTCTGCCAGGGTTTGAGTTTGTCTGCCCGGGCCGCCACTGCATTAGCAAACTCTACGAACTGGCAACAGAACGGGACCTCACAAAGGAAGAGCACGAAGGCATTCAACCTGGAGACAGGAGGAGGCGGGGACACAAACTCAGCAATGAATCATTCTGTCCACGTTCATCTCCAGAAAAAAACATTACACTGGCTGATAAATAAAGCATTATATTTTTACACAGAACATTTAGCAAAGTAGAAGACATGCAGGTGTGTGCCTTTCCTAATCAAGCCCAGTCAGTTTAATTAAACACAGCTGGACTCCAATGAACAGAAATATCTCAAGGAGGATCAGAAGGAAATGGACAGCATGTGAGTTAAATATGAGTGTGCAAAACTTTCTACATTTGTTTTTTTTTTCTGTCAAGATGGGAAGCCGAGTGTACGTTAAAGAGAAATAAAATAAACTTTTTGATTTTAGCAAATGGCTGCAATGAAACAGAGTGAAAACTTTAAAGTGTTCTGAATACATTACGTACCCACTGTCCTCTCTTCTGAACCACAGTGAGAATTACAATAAATCTAATTCTTTACAGCACAGAGCAGAATCTTTAGTGTTTGCTGTACTGAAGCAACAACAGTGCAAACCTATCTGAATGATCAATAACACAGAGTCACAGTTTAAGAGACTTACACCATCCACACCCCGGCAGCGATGTTTAAAGGGTTCACAGTGACACAGTTCCACACTCCTGAGACAGCACAGGCTGCAAGTTTAGTAAAAACAAAAAGACAAAACAAAACGCCTGTTATGATAAAACAGATGGCAGGCCACAGCTTATTTAAAACATACAACCTCACCGACAGATAGTAATATGTGACATTTATGGTAAACCTATCATTGTATTTGTATCGATAACAAAAAAAAAAAAAAAAACTTATTAGATGACATGTTCTGTACATGCTAATCAATGTATTTAAAATATATTGATAAAATATCAGACAAAGTACTGAAAACTGGCAGTTTTTTTTAATTTACATGTTTCACATGATCATTTAGGAAAAAATGGATAGTTCGGAGCACATTATTGTACAGCTTTTGCCATGTTTACGATTTGTTTTAAACACTTTGATACTCTTTCATGAATTGTCGTTCCACTCTAAAACATATTAAGATGTTATTTACAAACAATTGGAGACCGCAGTATAAATGAGACTTAGTAGCAGTAAGAATAATAAGCACGGAGGTGAGCAGAACACTAGACTTGACTTGTGTTCAGAAGTTGTGCAGAAACAGTAAAAACAGCCGGGTTAACAACAGGGCTGTGTATTGGCAAGAATTTGGTGATACGATTCATATCATGACAGAGGGGTCACGATACGATATATCCCGATATATTGCGATACTGTAAGCAATAGTGTGTTATATTGCGATTTTTTGTCCAAAAATTCTATTAAACAAAAACTTCTTACTAGGAAAAAAAATGAAAAACCAAAATTCATTGTCTCAGAAAATTGTTATATTACATAGACATACTTTTGATACATTTAGCTGTGTTCTGCTTTGTATGCATTTTATTTTATTTGTTTCATATTTCATCCATGTTTTCAATTATTGGATTAAATTTGCCAATAAAAACCATAGTTTTAAAATATATTTTTTGCAGCTTTTAGTTTTTAATATTAATTTACAAATGATCACCCAACACTTAACAAAAGCCTCTACCTCAAGAGGTAGAGTAACCAAATAGCTGGCTCACTGCTGCCAACTAGTGGTCAGAGGCTGAACTACAACATAAAAATGAACGGCTGGCAGGAAAGTTGACATTTTAAACCTTAATAAAAAAATCGATACAGGGCTTTAGAATCTTGATACAGTATTGGGAAATGAAATATCGCGATATTTCAGTGTATCGATATTTTCTTACACCACTAGTTAACAATAATGATGTGGGAATTAGAGGCAGAATGTGTGATTTAGCATATTTAACACATTGCATTTATTTCAAAACAATCAACTAACATTTAGTTTACATTAACTCCATACAAAACTGCACCACCAAAGGATGTCATCAAAACACATTTATTTGTCAAAACATAACATACGTAAAAAGCTGCATAAATGCAAACATGTAGTAATGTGTTGTACAATTTACAAAGGTGTTTCTGCTTGAGTTGTGTGTATTTTTTCCAATATACACAATGAGTCAAACATCACTGAACACCATTTTATTTCAGCAAGAAAAGGCAAAGTGACATCTGAATACTCCGACAAGTCATGAATGAAGGGGCCTTTCACTGAGGCATTAAGTCCAGAACATGGCTGCCAGAATATATTTTTACTAGATTTTCCATGACATTGACATATAGTACGGTACTCTATTTTAGATGGGTTTTTTTTTCCTCTTCCACTGTTGTTGTATAAACACTGGGGAATTTTTCCAAAAATAACACAAGAATGATTTAATATTTTCCTCTACAGTTCTCAGAAAGAACCGGAATGGGTCAGAAATCAAAGTTGGGCAAGAAATTTGCAATCGGTGCATCTTTGCTATGTAGCTGTAATTTGTGGACGGCTGTATTTGTGGCTTGGTTGAAACACTGAACCACTCCTTGTCTCTGAAGTACCCCATTAGCGTATGTATGAAGGTGTGTATTCAGATTAGTTTTGTAGAGATGTAACAGAGTGCTGTAGGAATGTGTAAATGTGTGTTAAGCACTTTGATGTATAGAAAGGCAACACTTAAGAAAATATTTATCATGGTTGAGCCTTTCTACTTGAGAATCAACACCAGATGACAATAAACTCCAGAGTAAGATAAAACATTAATAAAATGAACTCTGCAACAAGCGTTTCACCAGGCAAGCTCACAAACACTGGAAAAACCACACCGCATGTGTGTATCCTGCTCCTTTCCACCAACCAGGCCTTTTAATAATGCAGCAGTTAATGTGATCCAGGGACTCTAGTGTCACTGAATAGAACAGGATGGGAAACTGCAGAGCCAGCACCTCACAATCACATCTGTGTCACACTGAATATGTGTTTCTCTAAAATGTTAAAGTCATATTAATTTGGTAAGTTGGGTGAGGCTGCCTGGTAAGCAGGCGGTGCCCAACAGACTGCTGCAGTCAGGGAACAATGAGCGACAACAGTGGATTATTTACACAAGCTTTATAATTACCTCCTGATAATATTTTTATTGTGTAATTGTTTCAAACAAAAAAATAAGAGTTCAGACAAATTAGTGACTTTGTATATGGACATGTCTGTAACTGATTTTACACAAGCTAAAACGTGATTTAGGCTTTTATGTGTTCATTTTAAAGGACTAAGTAGACTTGATATGTACTTACATATTCCTCCCAAAACGCCAGCTATTTTGCAGAGCCACCTGTACCACCAGGTCATGCCATCATCATCAGGAGGAGCAGGTTTGTTGGACGCTGCTGTCTCTTCGGTGCTCATCTTTTTTTTCTAGCTACGTTTGCTAAAGTTACTCCCAGATGCTCAAGTTCGTTAGCAGCAGCAAAGCGCTAACTAGCTTACTTCAACAAAAAATAAACAAATGTAATTTCGACTTACTGGCTTTTTAAATGGCCCACCTTTCCTTTGAGTTTAGCATCAGCTGCCTAAGGTCCCAACGCTAGCACCCTCCCACACAGCAGGGCTTCTTTCTCCCCGTCACTCGGGACCAGCTAACCGGCTAGCCGACGGTCCGAAGCTACCGCCGGGAGAGGATATCACCGCGGCGCGTGTTCTCAGCTTTTATCCGGGCATATGACTCATTAAAAAGCTCCCAAACAGTTCCTACCAGTTAATTAATCCAATTTCTGTCAAAAAATAAAAAAATGAAATAAAAAAAAACAGGAGCTCCGCTGTTTTCACTGTGGGGAAAATCTGCCAATCAACGCGGTGCATTGTGGGTAGGATTCAAATTACGTCACGGTTTGTTTACGTTTCTTCCCTGATGGCACGGCCGTATTCCAAGATGACAGGATTCATGGGGCTGGAGTTATGAACGAGTGGTTCAGCGGTCAGACATCATCAATGAAAGATCATGGTGAAAAATTAAAACAACACTGGATGGAAATAAAGCATGTGACATTGCAGAAGCTTATCCAAACAATGCCACAGAGAAAGTGTGTCATAATTAAAGCTAAAGGCAAAATATCAGTGACTTTTTTTTTGGCCATGTAGTGTATCATGTGGGGAGATGTGTCTTGTTCAAAGAAAATATTTTTTTCTCTGTTATGAGATAAAAAATGCTGTGCTTTACTTTTACATTTATTGCATATTACTTTAAATGTCTCATGTTTTTAACCCTAAAAATAACTAAATGAAAAACCATAAAAAATAAACCACACAGCACATGTTTGAATACTTTCCTAAAAAGACCCATGTAAACAACAAAAATCAGCTATAGAAAGAAACGTGTCTCATAAATCCCATTATATTGAACAAATGAAGAGCTGGCTGGAAGCTCAGTTACTGCAGACAGAATCATACAGACCTGATCAGTGGACTGAAACAGACAGTTATTATATCATGTTATAAAAATATATCAGTAACAATGTAGAAACATTTCTTTTGTCTCGGTTATTCCTCTTGCAGCCATGAGCTACACTGTGTATGAAATCTACAAACTTTCTCAGCTCAATACTCTCTTTTGGCAGTAACTTTGGCCAGGCATGTAATTTATCTCTGAAGGCTTTAGCAATCACAAAGGGCTCACCATCACTTTCATGAAGTAGATCCCATGCTGTGCTGTATGAATCTTAGCTCACAATGAAGACTGGAAACAAATCAGTTGGTTTGATTCTTCATCTTGACTCTCCTGACAGATAAAGAGATCCTGATCACAGAGAGTAAAACCTGGGAGGAGGCCTTACACTACTGCAGAGTTCACCACCGAAAAGCTGCTTGGGGAGGGAGAGGGGGGAGAAGCCGTGTTATAGCTGTATGAAACATTTTTCTCTTGACAAAGAAACATTTTGTGAAAAAAGTCACTCAACATATTCATAAATATGAATTCACATTTAACTTAAAATTTACAACAAAACACACATGTACACACATTCACACACACAAAGTATGTGAATGTAGGACTTTTATTTAGATAATGCAGCAGCTTTTCAACATAATTATGTTGACAATAGGTTATTCTGTTTGAACTGGAATTACATTTTAACGACATAAATTTATTAGATTAAGTTAAATTGGCTTTTAATGCTGTTGTATAACACTGCAATATTAATATGAAGATCACAAACTAAAAACCAACTTAAATTATGCATTAAACGAAGTTTGGAGACGTTTTAAAATGTGTCTTTACAGAACCGCATCAGGGGGGTGGGGGGTAGCGGTTAGGGGTGTAAGAAAATATTGATACTCTGAAATATCGCGATATTTCATTTCCCGATACTGTATCGATATTCTAAAGCCCTGTATCGATTTTTAATTAAGGTTTAAAATGTCAACCTTCTTGCCAACCGTTCATTTTTATGTTGTAGTTCAGCCTCTGACCACTCCTTGGCAGCAGTGAGCCAGACATTTGGCTCCTCTACCTCTTGAGTGCCAGAGAGTAAGGGTAGCATTAGCATTGTAATTAAACATTAGCTTTTCTTTTCTTTTTTTTTTCCAGTAAGAGGTTTCTATTTAATAGAATTTTTGGACAAAAAAATCGCAATATATCGCCTTGCTTACAGTATCGCAATATATCGGGATATATCGTATCGTGACCCCTCTGTTATGATATGTATCGTATCGCCAAATTCTTGCCAATACACAGCCCCAGTGGCGGTGCAACAACCCTTCTTCTGAATAAATATAAACACAGTAACACAGCTGATAACACTTAAAGGAGACCAATTATGGGTCCTAGAAATTTTATGGTATATCTGTGGGCTATCCAGACCATGTTCATTCAATTTAATGCACAAAATAATTCTCAGATAATAAAATTTCCCATTTTCTAGTTCTGCCTGCTCTGACATCTGTTCAGAAAAGCTGTTTATGTTAATGAGCTCTGTTGGTAACGCCCTCCAAAAATCTGTTGACATTAACTCCGCCCTCCAAAGCCAGCGTTTACGTTAGCATGGCTAATAATAGCAGAAGCTCCGTTGTACAACCATATGAGACCCAGAGGCAGAGTCGTGGTCACAGCTTCTTTTTTTTCTCCCCCTCCTCTGCTCTGCACTCACTCTGCATGCTGTTACCAGAGCAGGGAGCAGCAGCGGTCAAAATATCTCAGAAACTCAAACAAATAAGCTTTAACAAGGCTTTAATAAGCTAAACAATAGAGGTACATGAGAAAACGTGTTCATAACGAATGAAAATAAATAAATAATTAAATTGTGTCCGTGCTGGTCTCAAACCCTGGTTTCCCACTCTGGTCCAACACTCTACCCATTGTTCTATAGGAGGCTTGTTGTAAAATGAGCTGCGCATTGCACAACACCATGACGGCTCTTTATACTGTGGAGGTGGAGTCTCACCCGGGGGTTGCTAGGTAAGGGGCTGAACGCAGGTTCCGGTGGGTTGTCGTATGGCTTGTGACATCACAAAATGACAGAAGTATAAAACTTGTCGTTAATATACATTAAAAATACATTTACTTACAGTAAATATGCCCCTGGGTGTATTTTTTGGTCCTAGGACTGTTTTTTTTAAAGAAGTACATACCCAAAGTTGAGTAAAAAAACCTTTAAAAAGTGAATTTTGCATAATAGGTCCCCTTTAAATTAAAAATATTTGGCCAAAGAAAAACAGAAGCAGGACTAGAGAGAGATGAATATGATTTAGATTTTCTTTTCTGTGACTGTAACGACCCACAGCAGACATGGCATTAACAGCACATTTCATTCCTTTAAGCAGCTCCTTTAATTCCACATGAAGCTGCTAAAAAGAACAGATTTTCTTTTCTCGATCTCGGAGAGCAGGACTTCAATCTCCGAATTCGTAAAGTTTTTATTTATTTTTTTTACTTTGCGATGTCATTCATGAATGGACACTTCCTGGTATGTGGAGCAGGAAACGTATATCCTTATATGGTGTTTTTGGGGTGGTAATTATATAAATAACCTCTCCGCGTGCATGAGCAGCTGGATACGAACAGGTGGAATTTACGCAGCTCATTTACACACTTTTCCTGAAGATAGAAGAGTTTGTTGAATCTGACGTGACATGTTCGTACGAACCCTTCATACGACAAAAGTAAGAGAAATTTAGGATAAGAATACGAACATGTTCTTGCATGAGGCCCATTGAGCTGAGCTATGGCTATGCTGCTCTGGTTTCTCCACTTGAGTTTCTTCAACCGTCTCCATTGCTGGGTTCTGTGTGAAATGAAGGTGGAGCTCAGCTCGCCACCGTTAACAAGGATAACATAATTCCAAATCTATCCCAGGTGTGAGCTTTGACTGTGATTGGTTTCCATTGTGAGGAACATAGCGTGTGGCCAAATGCATTTCAAGAAAGGAAAACAGCAAAAGTGGATTACAAAGATATGCTTCGCCTAAAGTAATGAGTAACTAACAAGCTTCTAAGAAATGTAGTGGAGTCAAAAGTACAATATTTGTCTTTGAAATGTAATGGAGTGAAAGTCACAAGTTCTCCAAAAACTAATTACTCAAGTAAAGTAAAGTTACTCAAAAAATGTACTTAAGTACAGTACTCAAGTAAACGTACTCCATTACTGTCCACCACTGCAAATGACAAAACAACTTTTAACCAACTGCTGTTTGACATCAACTTCATTTTTCACCGCAGATTCAAAACAATTTAGATTTAAGAGTCCCAACAAAAGAGATGCACAATTTAAATTTAACAGGCATTGAAGTCATTTTCACCAAAACGAGAAAATCTGATTCTGTCCAAGAGCGAAACTCAATCGATACCTTTAGGAAAAAAGAATAAATCTGTTAATCAGATGATCAGTGGAAAAGCATCAGGAGTTATTTGACAATCGGGACATCTTTAAGTGCCTGTGACATCAAATTTGTGTAATAAATATGAAATCATTTTTGCAACAAAAAAAATGAATGACATATTGCAAAACAGCATTTCACACCGCTGAGATTAACGGTTGTTGAGATATTTGCATTTGCAGTAACAGGAAGTGGTGTCACAGAGGAATGCCTGCACATGAACAGAGCGTTGCTACAACGGCTAACAACACACACTTTAGAGAAGAATCTGATGTCTCATTAGATTATTTTCAGTCACTAGAGAGACATGAAGAGTCAGAGTTCAAATAATTTTGTTTCAATAAACAAAGACCAGAGTTCCTTTTCGAAAAGAGTTCCCCTTTGATGTCACTTCCTGTTTCACTTCAGCTGAGCCAAATTCAGAAGAAAATATAACGGTTATGTGACAAAATGAGTAAATTCATGTGTATATCGCAAACACCTTAAATTTAAAGGTGCTTAAAAGGTTGCACAAAATTATATCAACTAGTCAACAAAACAGATGGCAAGACATTTTTTATGGGGGCTGCTGCCACTTTGCCCCACCCCCTAGAACCACATCTGTATCTCATTTGTGACGTCTGCACACTCTGTTTACATCCTGCAAAACCCTCGTGAAACATAAGGAGGAAACAGAGAATGCCTGCTGGTTTTTCTTCAGTCACTGACTGTGTGCGTGTGTGTGTGTGGAGGGGGTCTAATTAACTGTGCATGACCTCATGATGTGATTTTAATGAAACACACAGAAAATTATGAATCATCAATGACTCATAAACTTATGGACTTAACCTTATTCATGATGGCACAGATGAGTGGCTTTATCCAGCATAAAAAATGGCAAAAACTTCGTGTGGTGTGAGCTGAGAGACAGACCCACAGTGTTGTCTGATCACGTAAGATCTGCTTCGAAAACTCTTCCATAAACTGTGTCTTTCTGTTAGCAAAATATCTGATAAACTGCTGGACTGATTTTAATGAAACTCAGAAGGATGCACGTCTCAGAGTCAGTGACCCTCAGAGTCGACCCAATTCAAGATGACCACCACAGCTAATAAAGTTTTAGCCAACATGAAGTTGGCCATAAGTTAGTCAGTTTGACAGATATTTAGCTTAGTTTGGTGTGGTAGTAGCTGAGACTGATCCTTTACTTTTCATCCCACAAGATGGCAGCAACACATGAGGTCATCCATCCATCATCTTTAGAAAATAAATATTATCAAGAACTTTTGCAAATACAAATATATTTTCAAACATTTCTATATAAAAGGTTCTTGCCTTTGTTGTCCAGGTGTTAGCCCCGCCCCTTCCTGAAAATAAACACAAAAGCAGCAGGAACTGCAGATTAAGGTTTGGAATAGACTAGTAATGGTTAGTATTAGAGAAAATGTCTGGGTGAGGCATAAATGCAGTTACAAAAATGAATGGAAGTCAATACAAAGTCCTCAGTTTGATTAAAGTACAAGGATGCTGCGCATGTGTTCACACATTAATTTTATTTTACAAGGTCTGATATGCAGCCATTGCATATTAGATCTTTGGTTTGTATGACAAAAAACAAATAAGAAACCCATCTTTTTTTGTTTCTATGTTTAATTATTAAATTTTCCATATATCTTTAATGTGTAATTCACACATCTAAAGCGCACATACAAAACAAACAAAATGACTCAAGATTTTATGACATGTTCGCAAGAAAATCTAAGATATTGCTTATCTTATTTCTTCCAGCAGCTTTCTATTGAAGGACAGGGTAGACACAGGGTCAAGGACATGTCTGCAGTATGTGTGTTTAAGGAAACATTGCAGATTGGAGCCAGCAGGTGTGTACAAAGTATCTGCAGGTTTTTGATACAACTCATGACTGAATGCTAGATTTTTGTATCTGCAGGACCAATACTGTTCATACATCCACCGGTAACAAAGATCTCATAAGGTAATGAGAGCAGACCTGAAGCATTCTATCCTCATCACTCCTGACAAAATTAACTGTATCCCATCAGCTCAAGCCTCACTCTGAAAACAGAGTATGCCACAGAGGCTGCAGAGGCATCAGAGTCCTTGTGCTGGTCTTCGGTTCCTCCCTCCGCACCGGGGGTTTTTTCCCACTTGGAGTTCGGCACAGCATTTCATCAAGGGTCTCATCGGTCACCTGACCAGCTTGTTCAAGCTCAGTCACAATCTGTTCCACTTTCATCTGGAGTTGTGTGCCGTTAGCCTGCAAACGGAGAAAATCCACCTGAAACAGATCACAAATGCCACAGAGTCAATTATTGTACAACTGAAGTTTTTTAAACAGAGCATCAGTTTGTGTCTAAAATCAGCGAAGGACACTTGAGATTTCTTTGCTCAGATCTGATCTTGTGTTCACATTATAATTTAAACACAGTCTACAGCCCTGAAGCAGGCCGCATGTGCAGAAGATGACATGACATCACACACATCACACTGCATTTACAGACCTGGATATAGATGCTGCACACCCTAGCATGTTTGAATCGATTCTGAAGTTGTTGTGCAATCAGAGAGGACTATTTTATTATCTGCGGCACTTGTTTCGTCCAATGTTTCCTTTTCCCTGTCTTTTCAGATGCAAAAATTACCCATATGGAGCACAGGCGTTCTACTGAGACTCAAAGAAACTCAAGTCTCTACCCCATCGTGTTGATACAATTCAACATCATCGTTAGGTTCATATTGTTAGTGGAAATTCTCAGTCAACATAATATGACAGATCTAGAAATTTCCAAAAAGATGAAGAAATTTCTGTTCTGTAGCTGAAGACATCAGTAGTTCCACATTTTAAACTGCATATTTACCACCTTTATAGTGTCACAAAAACTTTGATATAAGCTAAAGAATTGGATTTGGCTCATTTTTTACCAACAATGTGAACATAGCCTTATAAGCACACATAACTGTCTTAAAACCAGAGGTGGGTATTTTGGAAAACAAATCTATTTTTAGGAGTAGTTTTACTACATCATACTTTTTTCTGAATACTCTACCCATCAAAAGTAACAACTTCAATGCATGAAAAGCAAACATATTTTAACCAAAAATGTACCAGAGACACACACCTACAGTTTATGTTGAAGTGACACCTCTTGTTTATACACAAGCTTTGTTGTTCTAATGTTATTCTCTATCTGCTGAGTCTACTGAGGCATTTGAAGGTCAAGTGAATATAAGGTAAATAGTACATAGTTGCTGGAAGTACTTTACGCTGTTCTGTAATATAAATGTACACACACACGCATTACCTACTGTAAGTGTTAGTTTCATAATGAAAGAAATTCGACTTGGAAAAGTGTGTCTTCTGCTAGAATCTGTTATTTTGTAATTATATTATTTGTATTTCATCATTTTAGTTTTGAAAAACACCAGAATTTGCACATAACTTTCTATTTTTTGTCGATCTGATGACATAATTTAACTTTTACTTGAGTAAAAGTAGTGCAACACTTACTCGAGTACATATTTTATGTACTCTACCCACCTATGCATTAGGGTTGGGCAATACTGGCAAAAAAAATAATCACGATTAATTGTGGTATTTAGCCAATTACAATTAATTTGACGATTAATCCCCTGGACACCCTTATGTCCTGGTCACATGACCAATTTAGTGGGAAAGATTTGCTCTTCGTAAAAATCTGTTCCAAATTGTGTCAAAATTACAGACTTCAGGCTTATACATCTAATTTTAAATTGTGTTGATAGATAAATAAATTGCAGAACTTTTTTTTAATGTTCATCATATTTGAAGCAGAGGGGAGCACCAAGCGGACTCTGACTGATGGTATTAATTGTATTAATCGTCAAGTGCAAAAAAATAATCGATTAATGTCTTTTTCACTATTAATTGCACATTATACGATTATGTCCAACCCTACTCTGCATATAACATTGTTTCAATTCACAAAGACCAGGGAGTTGACTTTGTGCAGCGCTCCCCTTTGGCATCATTTCCTGTTTCACTTCGGCATGCCATGTTTTAAAAAAAATATGCTAGTTATGTGACAAAATGAGTAAAAATTGTGTATTAGGCCAAATTTCTTAAATAGGATGTTTTCTGAAGTTGTGCCCATCGTTGGTTTTTAAGTTTGACTGTTTTTGTGAGTGGTTCCTTTTGATCAACATGTGACACCAAAAGCAAAATTTCCACATTTGTGGACAAAATTATTATTATTATTATTATATTTCTGGGTTGCAGATGACAACAGTATCAATGTCCTAAAATGTAGACGGGGGACAAGAAGTAAATGCAGCCCCGTTTCTTTCTGTTGATTCAGCATCACGACAGTTGTTGCAACTGCTCCAATTGGGAGAAATATAAAAGTTTTCTTTGTGTTCCAAAAGTAGTGTGTCAGAAAAAAACAAAAAACAAAAACAAACCAAAAAAAAGTGGATCAACAATCTACGGCTAAAAGCAGGAGGTGCGGAAATGGACAACAATGCAAGAGTTTGCACTGTCTAGATAAGGATCATATTGTTTAAATCTTATTTTCAGATATTTTATTGGACATTTACTCGAATTTACAGAAGCTGAATAAATTATTTACAAGTAGATCCAAGCACATAGAAATAACAGGTTAACTCTTTGTTAGCGATAGCATTAACATAAGCTAATAACTTAATATGGCACAAAGCTCACTCCTCACCCAGGCAGAAACAAGTCGACAGCATTTAAAGCTTCTTTGAACCTAAATGTTTGACCCAACCTGAAACTAAATAATTGTAGCTTCGAGGCTTTTAAAGCTTTCATCTGGCTCGTATGAGACGAGGTCTGCAGCACCAGATCGTTTATGTCAGTCGCCTCGACACCGGGTAAATCCTCAAGATTATATGACAAGTCTTTTTTATTAAGGCAATATGGATCATATCCTAAACGTATGCATATTTTATCACGACATCTCGTTTCGATTTAGCTGTGTTTTGAACCGGAGCAAATCACTTCCTGCCCCCATCTGAATTTTGCGCATCATCCGGGTCACGTGACCTCAACCCAGCAATTCTTTCACTCTTTAAATTTGTACGAAAAACATGTCCCAGGCACTTTGTTTGAGCACCTTGTAATAAACATATATTTAGTGAACAGGATCTGTGTTCTACCTACCGCATCTCGAGTAAATTCAGGCTTTTTCTCAAAAAAGCGGCTTTCAGGATACATGGATATGCATAAGACTGAAACGGCCTCTGAAATTTCTCCCGACATTGCCTGGATAATCACCTAAAAGTCACACAGACGTAAAAATGTCAATCATTTGACTAAAACTAAGGGGAACATAAAGAATAGTGGAATTATATGCAGCAAGTTTTACCTTAAAACTTGAGCACATTTTGTTGTCCGTCTTAAAAATCTGCGAATACAGCAAACGCGCCTTTTCTAAGTCATTCTGGAACAGAACAAGAGGAAACAAGTGACATTAATAGTAAGTAAGCAAGTAAGTAAGTAAAATTTTATTTATAAAGCGCCTGTCACAGAAATGGAATTCACAATAGTAATAATAAAGTAATAATAACGTTCTTCATGCATCGCTGCATGGACGAACAGGAAACAAAAGTTCTACGAACCTGCTTTAGCGCCAACGCAACAGCAAAGCAGTACGCATGTCGAGGGATAAAGCATCCTTTGGTTTGTTGTTCTTCTATGAGATCGATGCAGTTCCTGTAGGAGTCTGCCGTGTTCTGAGAAACAAACAAGGTGCAGAGCCCCAAAGAACAACTCCAGACAAATGCAAGTCCCAGAACTTAAAACTGCATTAAAATGTGGATAAAAGTTTTCAAACGTTACCAGTTTATAGTAGGTACCAGTCGCCAACACCACTGTGTCTTTGTTGAATTGAATACCTTGGTTACTCATGGTTCTAAGCACGTCCATTGCACCTGAAATAACCAAGGTTTGGATTTTATGCATGTGATAATTAAGCAAAGGAAGCTAAAAGATTTACTGCGTACTTACGTTCATATGAGCCTTTAAGAAATAACAAATCAATGGCGATGTTAAAAGAGGTCTTGTCAAGGAAAAATCCTTTCATTTTCTGAGCAGTAAAATAAGAAAAAACATTATCGATCAAAGTAAAGTCTAGGGCTGCAACTAACGATTATTTTAATAATCGATTAATCTGTTGATTATTTTTTCGATGTATCGGCCAAATCATTAAAACACGCAATTACATAAATATAAGTAGACATAAATTAATTTAATTCCTGTACAAATTAGGGATGCAAGTTATCAATTAATGTGAAGTTGTCTGAAGTTGATTTATCTTATAGATTGACTAACAATTGATAAGCAGCCATAGAGTTTTCTACTGAATCAAGAGGGTCTTTTCATAAAGTGAAGGATTTTTTTTAAATAATATGCTAAATTAAAAAAAGAAGCACATCATGAATATTTTCACAATTGATTTTGCTAGCTATATTAAACACTGACTGGAAAAAAGCAAAAAAATGTGAATTTCTCATACATTAATAAACTTGGTTATAGCTATAAAACATAAAACAGAAATTTAACAGGTTGCTGAATGAAGAAAACAGATAAAACAAATAAAATGATTTTTAGATGTAAAATTATTATTAATTTGTTATTATAATTAGAATTTATTTGCATTTATAATTTATGATTTCTCTCTAATTCTTTACATTTTGCTTCCTTCTTGTTCTTTGACCCAGTAAGCGGTTCTGAAGCAGCCCCCCATCCCTCCCCTCTCCCCTACCGAGTCAGACCAGGAGTCCTGCTCGCGTCTTTTTTTTTTTTCCTTCGTCCTGAACCATTTTGCTGCTTATCAAATAACTTTGAGCCTCAGTCAGAAAAAAAAGACTGGAGGGTTTGATATTTCTGGCCCGAGAGAAGGAAACAAATGGTGGACTGAGGATTTTTTTTTTTTCCGCCATGGGACAGGCTTCCACGTGGCTCGCATCAATTCAGACCGTCATTTAAAAAAAATTAAATGTGGCGTATACTTTTTATCATATTGGGATCTAATAGGCCTAACAACACAACTTAAAAACTGGTTTAAAGTTCGAAGTTTCTACTTTTCACTCAAGAGTCTTAGAGAGGGCGGATCTTTACAGGTAGTGTTTTTTTTTTCTTCCTAAACTTTATTTAGGACAGCCAGCATTGACAGCGCTCTGGTTAATGGCTCCGATAATGACATCGATAATAACATTCGTTGTCAATGCTTTTAATAATTGATTTTTTATCGATTTTTATCAATTCGTTGTTGCAGCCCTTGTGAAGTCCCACACCTTGCTTTATTACTAGTCAGGTCTTCAGTTACTCCTATTCTTACCTCGTCTGTTATTGTTGCTGCAGCCAATTCCTCCAGACCGAGCTCATAGCAAAGTCTCATAAAGATCGTGCCAAACCTGTAGTCTCCGTGCAGCATGTTATGATTCTCTGTGTGGTACCTTTTTTAGAGTAAATTAAGAAACCAGTTATTTACAGTTCTGACAGAACAAACAGTCCACATACAGTACAGAGATGAGCTGCAGAGTTACCTGTAGATGGCTTCCCTGGCTATCTGCATATCCTCCGGAGTTTCGCACAGGTAAAGGAGAAGCTTCAGGTCCTCTCGCAGAATCAACTTGTGTCCTTGCATCTTCTGTTTGATCAGCTCAAAATTATTTCCTGTGAAATTAGAGTCAAACAGGAAGCAGTTTTCACACAAAACATCAACTCAGCTCTGGAGATAAACGTTTCTCTGTTGGATTTTTACCCTCTGATCCAGTAATTTTGCGAGCCACATCCAGCTTGGTGTGCTGGAAGTCTTGCAGTTTGAGAGCATTTTCGGACAACAAATGCCTTTTAGCTGCAAATGAGAAAACAGAATAGAAAAATGTAAATGATAATTATTTAAATAAATGAAGGCTTTTTTGTTTTCAAATTTTAAAGCAAACCAGGCATTTTAGTTACCAACTAACCTTTAGCTCAATATTAGTAAAACACCAAATTATAGACATTTTTGTGACTATCTTGAACAGGATTGACTTTAAAAGTTATTCATTCGTAGATGTATTCAATAAAAATAAAAAACAGTGATTTATTAAAGAGTAACTTACCCCAAAATTAACTTTTTTTAGCTGATACACTGTCTAAAATGTGTCTAAAATGTTATATAGTACTGTTTCTGTGCTAATTTTGATGCTTTTGTACGTATTTGTTCAAATCTGTAACATTTGGTCTAAAAACGTVTTTTTRCTGCTCATATGGGTAGAGCAGTGGTACTGCAGGCTAATTTGCATATTGGTTAACGACTCTCCTCTGTGACGTGTCTTCTCCACAGTTTCGTCACAGCGGCTGTGTTCTGGTATAAAAGCCTCTCTCTAAGACACGCCCCTGCAGCAGTCAGAGGG